TCGTTCCAGGATAAATTCGAAGAAACATGAACGCCTAGATCTTTCTCAGTTGAAACGACTGCAACCTGTGACCCGCTCAGATTATATGATGTGTGCATAAAACTCTTTTTCTTTGTCACGACAAGGTGCTTACACTTATTAGCGTTGAAATTCATGAAATGCTCAGACGACCAACCAGTTAAGCTTAGTAAGTCTCTTTGTAGTTGAACTGCGTCAGCACCGTTATCAATAACTCGATAACACTTCATATCATCTGCATAGAGTTGGACAGTAGTCTTAGCATCTGTCACACTTGGGGCACTGTTAATATATATTATAAACAACAAGGGTCCCAGGATAGACCCCTGGGGCACACTGGATGAAATAGGTAGTAAAAAGATGCTCAGCCATCTATAACTGTCATATGCAAACGATCTGTCAGATATCTTCTAAACCAAGATAGCAAGTTCCCTCTTATACCAACGCCATACAGTTCCCTTAATAAGCAGTTAAATGATACAAAGTCAAATGCTTTACTGTAATCCAGAAATACTGCATCAAGCTGTTTCTTCTCATCAAGTGCTTTGGCAAAGACAAATGTAGATCTTGGTAGATTTTGGTTGAGTTTCTGATGTTATAACTCTGCAAATCTGCATATTCTAGAACTTGAACAGGGTTTTTGTTAGAAGCCGGGCCCCAGGTACTGGCGCCTGTCTACTCAAAACAGAGTGCCCGGCTACCTCAAGTACAAAATTTTAAAAAAAAAAATTGTCAAGAAGAAAACTATCAACCTCAACTAAATATTTACTCTTCCTTGTAAGTTTAAAACCTTTTTCTGCACTTATTTATCAATTATTTGCCACCAGATCGTGAAAATAAAATGTACTTTGAGAAGAAAGGTGCTGCGCATTAATTGAGTTTTTTAAGTGCCTGATTACGTATTACATAACTCTTGCACATGGTGTGCCACACATTTAATGCAAATGCATTCTACGGAGTTACCATGGCAAGCAAAAGAAAAACTCAATGCATCCTGGACTCTTTCTTGTCATTTACATACAAAAGTCAAAAGATTTCTTGTATTATTTACACATTCCTGTGAGGGAAGCATGCAAGCACTTGTTTGTGTATGAAAGGTTAAGCACAATGACCCAGAAAATTAAATTAAAGTTTTCTGGTTTTAATTAGGTTCAGAGGAATGGTTCTCTTTTTTGAAAAGTTACATACAGTTTCAATACTTCCTATGCTTTCCATTTCTTAAACTGTTCATTAAACACTTCTGAAGTACAATTCAAAATGAGAAATAAACAACGAGAGTAGAATGTCGCCGTAAAAGGTGCTTATCAGCTAACATGTGCATCTCAATATAAAGCCAACATTGTTTTTGGTTTTCAAAGCTTAAACATTCCAAACGGGAGTAAGAAACTTGAAAGAAACTTTGTTCCAATTTAATTTTCATTTAAAATAAAGCTTAGAAAAGCATTCAAGAATGCAGTAAATGGTTTGAACCCGGGAGTAACATGTGAAGGTGCAGTCTGATCGTCCGGGTGAGTGTAGTCCTGAGAAGGACTGTTGTCGGTGGTAGTGACTGACGTTTCGACAACCTGTGCGGAAGTCATCATCAGAGTCAAGTGAATGATTGTTGTCAGTAGAATGTTCTTATTCCAGTTCTTGTGAAATGATTGGTTGGTTTTGCCGTGATGTTATTGGCTGTAAGACTCAAGTGACGTAAGTCGGTCGTGATTGGTCTGTTTCGATCTGTCGGTAAAGTTAGGTCGTTCTTTTTCGGTCGTTTGTGATGTTTATGTCGTGAATGAGTCGTTTGTATGGAGCGGATAGTTGTTGACATCTGTTTAGGGGAGTCTGTTCTAAGTTAGTAAACCAGCTTTCCAGAGTCAGTCGTTGAAAATAGTCAGTGCTCTAGGTAAGGCATTGCGCAGAGTCCTAGTCAATTTTGTGGTTGGTAAGTCGATGGTGTTCAGCAATGTGATTGCTGACATCACCTTTCCTTGTCGCCCGTCTGTGTTCAGTCAGTCTTGTTGTGAGGTTTCTGCCAGTCTCACCGATGTAGGAGGCTTGGCAGTTAGAACAATTGATCTTATAAATCGTTCCCTGTCTGTTCCTCGGTTCGTCTTTGTCTTTAACGTTGGTTAGTTACTGACGTAGTGTGGTGATGGGTTTGTGGGCGACGCAGATATTGAAGGGTACCCTCAATTTTGTTAGGGTACCTGCCTACTCATAAGGCAGCACCCTTCTACTTCAAAAGTTAATGAAAACCCTACTTGAATAGCTAAGGAGAAGAAGAGATGTTTGGAAGGATTTAATAGCATATCTCTTTTCACATAAACTTTTGTCAATGTCTTCAGTTGGGTGTAGAGTGGAGAGATTAGACTGTCATCATGTACATCATGGCATCATGTACATATGTAGTGAAACTCTAAAAATATTTTGTTACCTTGTGAGCTCTTAAAAGAAATGTGACATGTGATGAACTACATGTAAGCTGGGAGTTATTTTGAATGTCAGATCATACACTGAAAGACTGTACTAGTGTTTCAATGAAATATTCCATCTAAGAATTTGGAAAATTGACATAAATCAAAACTTCTTGTCTGAAACATTAAACTTATCATTTTACATTCTATTAAAGCTACTATGTATTGTTGATACCTCAACAGGTTGACATCCATGATAAGTTCATCCAGAGTTGTACAGACCAGATATGCCATTCTGCAGATGTATTTTCCAACAAGGGTACAGAGATTACCCATATCGAAGACAAGTCTACAATTCCAAAGGAAAAGCTTCAGCAAGAAGCAAAGAAAACAGTCCGTTGTCTGACAGTTCTTAAAGAGTATGTTGCGGAGTGCGATGATGAACATGCAGAGGAACGAGCAATCTTACCTCATGGAAGGTACATGCTGTGCTCAAATGGTCTGCAAAATGTTGCACCAGGTCACTAAATGTTTCTCTGCTCTGTAGGTCATGCCGTGGCCGACATGTTTCTCTGATTGTCAGATTCCCATCCCATGGTCGTCAGGGAGAAGACTTTGAGATTTGGTCACACACAAATGAGTCTATAGCATCTGTCAGACGACAGGTTATGAGCAGGTGTGTTTTTGTTTATTTGGTTGTCACCAATCCATTTTTGGAGTATGAAACATAGTAAGACTTATTGGTGTTTTCTTTGATATGAATAATTATTTCTTTGCTTGTCTGTTTTTGTACAGGTTGAAGAACTCACTACAGACAGCCAGGCTTGATCTGTATGTCAATGGAGAGATCCTCTGTCCTTCTGATGACAAGAGATTAATTTCACAAGTGCCATTGAGAGACAGGACAGTAAGTGTTGGACTTGTATTTCACTTAATGATGAATTTTCAGTCGACAGTTCTGTTGTTGTTGTTGTTGTTGTTGTTGTTGTCGTTGTTGTTGTTGTTGTTTGGTTATAAATTGAATGGACCCTATCTTATATCAATAGAAACTGTTATCCCTTGCTGTACGGGACACTCTTTGAATCTTACATCAAAATTATTAAGGAGTAATTTTCAGATCTTAGAAGTTGAAAGACTCCAAGGAAATATTTTGCATGAATTTATTCCATCACTGCTGGTAATTTTGTTGGACTTGCTATGGTACTCATAATTGATTTTGAAATGATAATGAATTCAGATTTAAGCATCATGTTGTGTTCATGAACTGAGTTATAGATTTAATTTGCATTTAATTTAACAGTTAATAACAGCCAAGATTGGAACAATGAATAGCTCCATGCCATCATCACCTGATTCATCATCAGACTCGTCAGGGGGGTCTACACCAGCTGCTCTGGATGGTCCAAACTTAGATGCTGAGAACTGCCTTCCAGGAGTGGTGAGGAAAACATTAAAAGATGAAATTTCGTTAACAAATCATTAACTACAGTTCTAAATTTTGGTTTTGTGTGCATGTTGATGTACATGGTTGTATCATGAACTTACTTCCTTGGGACAATGAAAGAAAGTCCTATGCTGATCTTGTGTTGTAAGCATGTTTACTTCTTAATTACAAATTTCACATTTTTTTTTTCTGATTAAATGATGCCAGAAACACTCGGAAGTACTTAGAGAGGTTACACCTGCTTCACTTAAGAGAACAACAACCTGCCTTGTTGAGATACAGTTAGTTCAGCACCTGCTGTATCATACTCATCAATTTTTATCTTTAGATGTTGTCCAAACGGCACAGCTTTATGCAATACCTAATTGATCTATCTGATCAAGGTATAGCTCATAACATTCCTGATCTAAGAGAAAGAGTTCAACAACTCCTTAATCTCATACCATCAGGTGAGTTGTGGTTGTATGCAACAATCCATTTCTACCAATTTTGTCAAATGGCAATATTGGCTTGAATTACATTATTTAAACATTTTATTGAAAATTTACACTCCTACATTACAAAATGGTCTTTAAATAAATGCTTTTTTCTAGATACAGAGACAGTGGGAAATATCAAGAATGTTTGTAGACCATCATCAGAAAACAGTTCTAAACAATCTTCTGCTTTACTTGACAACATGTTCTTCATATCCTCTTCAACACAAGTTCTTTACAACCTAGAGGTATGGTGAATGATCTTAATTTGCCAATGAAATAAATAGGATCAAAAGCGTACAAACTTGAAGTTACTAAAACTCTGATATGGTGTTAAAAAACAAGGTGGGGTTTATAAGCCGACCAGTCAGTGGCAGGAATGAATCCCTTCCCAAATATGGGATTAAACTATCGAGATGCTTGTAATGATTGAAACAAAATACATGTGTGAATACATAATTATGTACAAGAAGTCCTGCTTCACCCTTTATTTCCCAACTAAAATTTATCTCAAGGATCACCCTATGTTAATGAAGGTATGGTGATATTTTGTGGCAATTCCTTGGATTGGATGTCACCTTTGTTCCTTATTTTCTTTCAGATTGTTTATTCCCTTCTTATGCCTGCTGCCTTGCCCAGTCACGATCACCAAACTTTAGAATTCCAGGTGTGTATGAGGAGGGTACCTGTAAATGGATAGATAGATAGATAGTTTATTAATAACCGATTCACAACCAAAAGTTGAATTATACGATTATTTACAAGTTTCAAACATTGATAATTACATTAAATAGACTAAATGTATTAAAACAGCAATAAGGACACTAAATATATGTTCCAAAAAAAAAAACAGTTGTATAAAACTGTTCAAGCCTTGAGGGCATTGAAGGTAATAAAACTATTACGAAACCTGTTTGTCTTAAAAACTGGCTTAAACTTCCACATGTTTCTTAGGTTAAAGGTACATGTGTTGCGAGTAGGAAGAAATTCATGGAGCTTGTTCTGTTAATTCTGTAAAACATTCTTAAATAGTTTATCAACTAGTTTCTGTTGGCAATCTGAAAGTTTAGTCAGGCCGGATTCAGCCAAGGCCTCGTTATATGAGCAAAGAGGAAAAATAATGCGCATAGCCCACTTTTGTATTTCTTCAAGTTCATTGGAGAGGTACATGGGAAGGCCGTCATGGAAGACAGGACATGCATACTCTGTAATCGGACGAATACAAGTGCAGAAAAACTGGACTAACTCATGGGTACCAAGACCAGAGCGTTTAAGCTGAGATAAGCAATACAAGCGCTTTTTAGCTTTCTTGATAATGGAGTTAATGTGACAATTCCATTTCAAATCATTAGGGATGTTAAGGCCTAGTATTTTGGCACTAGCAGTTACGTCAATGGGCTTGTGATTAACAACAACTGGATGGAAAGAAGTAGGGTTGTTAGTGTTAAAGTTTATGAGCAGTTCCTTGCATTTCGTCTTGTTTAGTTGAAACTTATCCTCGGTCGCACGGCTTGCTAGGGTGTCAACAGCAACTTGAATGTGACTGTCTTGGTTCTTGCTTATTGTCTCTGAAATAGTGGTATCATCAACATACTTCCAGAGATCGATGCCAGAAACATCCAGCTCAATGATCATGAAGAAACACATAGACTTTAAGGGCACTCATTAGTCCTATTCCAAAAGCTCAATGCCAGTTTTACGTAAATCAGACTGAACTTCCATCAAAATTAATTAATGGTAAACATATCAATCATGTCATATTGTTTTAATTAAATTTTGTGTATTTGAAGGTGAACTTTTTGAAATGTGGTGGCATTCAATGCATACTTAACATGCTGACAAGTACAGAATTCCTTCAACATGCTGATGTAATCACTAAAAGGTACACAACATAATTGAGACACAGAACAATGTAGTGAGGCACCAATTCTTATTGTGGGTAGCATACCATAGTGTGACAGAAAGACAAAACTGATAACATACTTGATTTCAAACCAAAAATCTGGAAATATGGCTCTTTATTTTTATCTTCATTTAGCTGTTTTGTTGCACTAAATTGGTGGCATTGTCTGTGTCCTTTTTAGATGAACATGTACAGGTTTCTCTCATAGTAACATACATATCCAGCAGAAAGACCAAGTGGGAATAACTCATTTGAAGCACCATTCTTTACAGCATGCAACCTATTGCTTTGATGGTCAACATTTAGCTAGATTTATCTTTTTTTTTTCTATTAACATTGTACTTACAATCTTTCCTTTTTGTCCTCTCACTTACAGAGCTGCATTCTACACTCTCCTTAAAATGGCCAAGTTGTTGCTGACAGTAGTGGGTTACGCTCAGGTTACAGTGGTAGCAGAAGCCATTCAACCTTCTGACCCATCCTGTTCCCCTCCTCCAATCTCTGCTAGTGCTCATAATGCTGCAGTCATATTACAGCAAGCCTTGCAGTACATTCCTAACCCTGGCACAGAGTGCATGTTACGGAACATGGCTGTAAGACTTGCTGGTCACTTGAGTAGTCAGGTAAGAAAGTTCAGAAAATAACACTCTCAGGATGTGGGTGACAAAATATCTCTGCATTTTAGTTGTCAGTACAAAAGAATGAAAAGGAAAATATAGAAAAAAATTGGTATGTGACCATAAATGAATAAAATCACTTTAAATAACTTGTACCTTGAGATCAACACCAGATTGTGACATGTGGTAACTAACACCTCAAAGCATTTTTTCCTCCTGCTACCTCTTTTTGCCTCTACTTTTGTGAGGCTAGAAGTTATTGATATTCTACTCATTAATATCTTGATGTATTGAACTTTTGTAGGTTACAGAGCCTTTACCTGATCTAAATGCTGTCAAGTCTGTGCAACGGTTATCATGGGCTGCAGGTGTGGGCATGTTACATCTCATCCAATCAACAAATGAAGAAATACATAAAGCATATGATTCAAAGGTCAGATTTTCCTTTTTTTCTCTTATCAGTTTCCTTTTTCTAAAATAAATTTATGAAAAGAAAATGAAGGAAAAAGCTGTGAGGCAAATTGAACACCAGTTGATAAACTGCACACTAAATGCTCCTAAACAAAGTTTTAAAGGTGTGTAAAGAAACTTAGTGACAGCCTTGGTGAGCTTGTTTTGTGTATTTTGGTGTAAGTGTTTTCTCACTTAAATTCTTGTGGTTAAATGAGGAAAACTTTTTTTTTTTCTTGATCTCAGACAAGTACAAAAAGTCTTGATAACGATGACATACAAGTGGCAAGAGAAGCACTTGAAGTAAGTTGTTTCATTTCTTCCTGTTGTTTGTTATTGTATTTAATTCTGAAAAACAGTAGTTTTTAGCAAATTAAACAAAAAAGGAACTATTGACAGACTCCCTCTATTGCTCTGAAGGGTTTTTTTTTTTTCACTATAAAACAAAAAAAGCAAAAAACTGAAAACATTTTTACCACCAAAGGTCATAGGTTCAGTACACCCCTACAGTAGTATGTACTAGATGAAGTGCTAAATCAAAATAATGTTATGCAAGCTTCTAAAACTGTCTACATCAAATACTAAGAGAAATATTGTAGATAATAAAATTAATCTTATAAACTAAGACTCCAATCAGTTGAATGAATACTATTGTATTTTATTTTCTTGAGATCAATTACTTTAGAGCACAACAGGAGTTAAATACCGTGACTTCACTGAGTCTGATTAGGAGACCTGTGCTTAATTAGAAACAACTCGGGCTGAATTAAGCCAACATGCAGAAGCTGTATGAACTAATCGTAGGAATGATTAACAACTACATTTGCACTGAATGATCTAAGTTCTTTGTGTAATTGTTTTTTCATATTAGGTACTTAGTGTGTGTTTAGCCTTATGTCCAAGTCTCCTTGAAACTCTCACAAAGGACAAATCCTGGCAATGTTTTATCATCGATCTCCTCATAATGTGTCAAAGCAGGTACTCAAATTTATATTCTTTATTTCCTGTAATGTACATGTAATGTACCACATTCCTTAAAAATATCGAATAGTGCCTTAATGGAAAATCACAGCCTGTTTGTATGTGACAGACTTTGGCAATGTGTAACTGATCTTTTTTCTGTTTCATTTTGTGTAGAGCCATCCGATGTAGCACAGCAGAACAGTTCTTTCTCATTGCTACACGATGTTCTCATGGTCACAGACCACTCATCTTTTTCATTACACTTCTTTTTACTGTACTTGTGGTGAGTGTTTTCAGTTAAGTAGATGTACATGGCACTCACTCTTTGTCTATCAAGGTAGTGTTAGTTTATTTTAAGGTCATTACTTGGCTTTACATCAGTGGTAAGCTCATACTTATTTTAAAATGTTGGTGATAATGGCAACGAATAATAACACAATCATGAACTTTTGGTTGGGAGTCCCTCTGCAATAGAAGGCTAGACTGCTTACATCATGAATTCTTGAACAGTACTTTGAGTGTAATGCTCAACAAGTTTGCTCAAAAATTCCAAAAGGTATCTGTGTAGTCTCCTGGGTGAGATGAAACCAGCCATGAAGTATTTTTCAAAATAATTATTTGACAATTTTGTTATTGTGTAATGGTAACATTGAGAAAAATTTTACTTCAGGTCACTTCAGTGACCTACAGGTACATGAAATAACTGAAATATGACCTTAATGATGAGGTAATGCCACTCAAGATCCTGAGTTACTTCAACCAGATCAGACTCTACTTGATGACTAATTGTACTGTTTCACTTTTTGGCTGATGTGAACTTTTACTGTTTTGTGATTCACTTTAAGACATCTTTGGCAAAAAGACTCTTAATATTAGCAGACAGTGTTCTGCCCCATGCATTGTAGTTGTGATTGCTAGTTATAACTCTGTTCACTGATTACTTTTGACTTTGGTTTGCAGAACTCCATTAAGGATCATGCTGGCTCTTCATATGAATACTTTAGCTTGTTTTGCAAGTGAGTAGCAGTATAGCATGGTCAGTCATAGTGGATAACATACAGAACAACAAAGGAAAATAGCAGTAATAAGTTGTACTTTTCAACAGGAGTAATAAATTGATTTAAACCCTAGGGGTATGTCATTTGAATGATTAGATTGAAAGGCCCTTTCTTCCATTAAAACCTAAGAAATTGTGAAACTGAAACAAAATTTTTATTGGTTCAGTTTATATTTGCATACATTTGTTCAGATAAAACATGCACATTTAACTTAAAGGAAACTTTCCATGTATTAGTGTCTTTCAACAAAGACAGGAAGCGTTCTCTTACAAGCTGGAGAGTATTTTGTGCCTGATTAGTTTACTTACATCACAGGTGTTATAAGGTGTCCGTTGGATTAACTCGCACATTTAATCGACAGCATTCTTGTTTTTTAATTCATAGATTACTTTCCCATGCCTTTTTGACCCACTGTCCCCTGCCCACGGCCGAAATGATGCTGAACACCGAAATAACATGGCTCAAAAAAGCAAAGGTTGGTTACTAGGAGTATGATTCACTTAACATCTATGGGCATATTTGGATTCTACATCGCCATGTTCAAATCTGATACCATTAACTTTTTATCAAAGTACCTTCTTTTATGATATTAACTCGAATGAAGGTCTCATTTTTATTATTAAATAGAAAAAACTGCCGTTCAGCTGTCTCAGTACTACCTTGCGAGTAGGCTCCCATTGGCAGTGCTACGCGAGCGGCGAAACCCACGCGTTCCGAGCTGGTGACCGAGGTCCGCAAAGGGTCTGGCGCGAGAATGAGCGTCAGACTGTTCACATACGTCTCGCCTCTCGTGCCGCAGTGCTAACGGGAGCCCGATGGTACTGTATCGCAATAAGAGTTTTAATAGTGATTGATTCATATCTGTTGTTTATATCAGGATTTAGTTTTATCGTCTGAGGAAGGAAGCTCTGCCGTGGATGACTCCCTGTTAGAAGGTCACCTAGGAGTTACGAGAGAATTGTTACTTTTCCAGTCAGCTCAAAAGAAATTTGCTATTGGCTCACAAAAGGATGGACCTAATCTTATCAAGGTATAGATATTAAATAGATATCAAGTGTCGCGGAACATGTAGTTCCGTAAATTTTAGCATACTCTAATAAATTTAGACAACTTAACGGTACTTTAGGCTTCGTGAAATACAGCTGTCCATTGAATATGTATAACAGAAAATTGTTCGGTGTTTATTTTTGGTCTAAGCTTGAAATGTTTTGCTTCTTTGACCATCCTCCTAGTGTAATACGTCCATTTTAGTGTTGAACAAACGTTGTGAAAAATCTGCCTTTTTAAAGCAGATAGTCTAGCCCGCACATACTACACTACTGTAGGTCATTATTGACTAAGCAGATATTCATTACGTATGATGCACGATCCTCGCAATAGAGAGCGCTATTTATGCAATAGCGAAAATCATAAATAGCATAAATAGCGCTTTCTACTGCGAGCATCGTGCATCATACGTATCTACTACCGCAGTTCAAAATATATGAACTTCATATATTCATTGTAGCAGATATTCATTATTCATTATTGACTAAGCAGATAGTGTAGCCCACACATACTACACTACTGTAGGTCATTAAGTTTGTCGTTTTATATTTGAATACGTTGAAAAATGTTTGCTTTTAGGATCTTGTCGAAGATTTCATCTTCCCTGCATCCAAACTTATCATAGATGCCAGGAATGGTAATGGTAAGGAATACAGTTTTGTTCCACGTTTTTGCTGCGCAGAGCCAGTTACCTGTAAATATCAATTAGCTTCAGTTAGAATGTGCCGTACCAGTAATGTAACCTTGTTATTTCTTTTTCCAGATGACGTCTGGAACAAAAGAGTCACAGCAATCTGCTCCACTCAAACTACGATGGTAGCTGCTTTTGATCTCTTAGTTGCTCTTTGTAGAGGCTGTGTTCAAAATCTTAAAGTCTTAGCTGACATCCTCACTGATTTCTACTACTCCGGTAAGAACTTAGTTTTTTTGTTTTGTTTTTTTACCATATGTTAATTTTTTGTGTGTCGGTGTCTTTTCTTTCGCTCAGACTATTTAGTGCGGAGAAGTGGAAAATTTACTCTCCCTGTACGTGTGGGACTTTTTTCTCCCGTTGGTTGTCTTCACATATGATTTCTGTGTCAGATGTGACCATCCTATCTGTTACTTGCAAAGCATAAATTATTTGTCGTTTAATTTAGTTCCTAGTAAGTATTTTCTCTGGAGAAACTAAGTCAATCTCCGCTCTTTTCTCCAACTTTGGATTAATGCGTTTATATCTTTTAAAATATCTCTTGTGTAGGGGAGGACCCTCCTTTGACAGAGTGGGAACATTTACCTCCAATTGGACCTCGCCCATCCAAAGGTTATGTGGGTCTTAAAAATGCAGGGGCCACGTGTTACATGAATTCCGTAATTCAGCAGGTATGTGGAAGATTCATCATCTGGTAATTTTTTTAACCTCTTCGCCTCTCTATTTGTCGTAACTATCCCTTAAAAGTAAAGCCTAAAGTTCCCTGTAAAGTGAATTTTAATACGTCACAGGTGGATTTCTTTTGTATTGAAACCAAAACCAATCGTATCCAATGACAGGCATATTCCCAACAAACTCCAGGTGTGGTGCTGCTTTAGTCAACCTTATTTACACGGGATTTTAAATCAAAATTGTATATATTAAGGAGTGTTTCAGTTTGGAATTGGTTAGTTCACTTTATTAAGTGCAGTGGAATATCATGTTTTGCTGTGACTGCAGGTAACACGTTAGCGTTTCTTGTTTCAGCTTTTTATGATTCCTGAACTACGTGAGGGTGTTCTGAAAGTGGAAGGAGCTGTGCAAAAGGAAGAGGAAGATGGTGTGGACGTAGAGGAGAAATCCGAGAGTGAGAACACCATAGACACTGGATATCAGTCTGAAGACAACAAAGACAATGATAAGGACACTGACACCAACGATACTAAAGAACTGGAGATTAAGAGATATCAAATCAGTGTGCTTAATCAGATTCAGTTCATCTTTGGACACCTGGCACAGAGTCAGCTGCAGTTCCATGTACCTCAAGGATTCTGGAAAACGTTCAAGTGAGTCTTTCCTGCTTTCCTTGTGTGATTTTAATTAATTGAAGCCTTTTGATTCGAGGACACTGTCACTGCTTGGTGATTCGTTCATCTTACAAATGATGGTTAGAAAACTTTAGCAAGTATCAGTTAATTCAGGAAATGAAGTGACGATAAACTATGAAATAAGTTATCCATAGTTACTTTTTTATCTGAATCAGTCATGACATCCTTCTTTCCAAAGCTGATTCAATGTATGAAACTAAATCTTTTTTTAAATGAGTCACCCTTGTTAGGTATAGATGATTTTATCATGGTAAATGTTGTTCCCGCCTGTAGAGTTTGACTCGTTTACTGTTGCTTTTTAGGTTGTGGGGTGAACCAGTGAATTTACGTGAACAACATGATGCCTTGGAGTTTTTCAACAATTTGGTTGATAACTTGGATGAAGGGTTAAAAGCGCTGAGTGGAGACCCTCTGTTTTCCAACATACTGGGTGGTAGCTTCGCTGATCAAAAAATTTGTAAAGGATGTCCTCATAGGTGTGTATGCATACCATTCCTTTTAACGTGGAAACTCAACATGCAAAGTATGCAAAGCTATCAATCTTTCTTGACTGTCCGATCAACTGGCACATGACATGTATTTCTGGTACAAGTCAAGTTCACTTACTCCTTTGTATAGCAGAGATCAATTGTTTGAAGCAGTAAAGACATATCAATCCTTGCATTGAAACACGTCCAATTACCCTGCTTATTTTACAATTTGTCTGAACAATGAATAACTCCGCTCTTTGATAATTTTTGGGAATACTGTGGAATACTTTTTAAAAGCGTAGAATTTATTTTAGCTTATTTCGCGGGAGGAAAAATGAGCGAAACTTCATTCCAACGTGACTGCCTTATCTCTCTTTGTAATCTTTTTATAATCGTCTTCTTAGTGACCAAATTATACTGGCTAATGATGACTGGCAAAGATACTGTATTGGCTATCACTGCATTTTATATCTTGCAAACCAACAGGAAGTGAGTTGCGCGAAAATTAATTCAAGCCAACTTGTCAGTTTTTGTAACTAAGCGAAAATACATTCCCGCCTTTATTAAGTCTTCTATAGCATTTATTTCTCTATTAATTCAATGGTTTTTTTTTTTTACCTTTCCTGGATGTAAATTGTGTTTTTTTGCATGTCCTAACTTTCTGGTTCGCATGCTCTCAACGGTGTGGCGATTTACCAGCAACTGTATTGTGGTTAAATCATTTGATTCATTTTGTATCAGGTATTCCCGTGAGGCACCATTCATTGCTCTAAATGTGGACATTCGTAATCATCAGAGTTTAGTGGATTCTTTGGAACAGTTTGTCAAGGGAGACTTGTTAGAGGGCGCCAATGCTTACCACTGTGAAAAGTGTGATAAAAAGGTCATTATTATTTCTGCTGTCCTTTAAACCTAGTTTTGATGTCCATGCATTTCACAGTTCCTTTATGATGAGTTACATCACGATTTTTGCGTATGTGATAAGGGGAAATAGTATCCAATCTTATCACGGTCTGTCAATAAAGGAAGTTAAAGCCGATTGATGTGGCCTGTTTCGGGAATGTGGGGGGTGGGGAGGGGGTCCGAATTTACTTGCATGATTAATGTGGTGACCTGTTTGCGTGAGTAAACAGAATAAATGTTATTTACTGTTCTGTGATGTGTAGGTCGACACAGTCAAACGGATGTGCATTAAAAAGCTTCCTCGAGTGCTGGCAATTCAACTAAAGCGCTTTGACTATGACTGGGAAAGGTAACTGAAATTCCTATTCTCAGCTCTTCCTATTTTCTTTCCCATTACTTTTATTGACTCGTCTTAAGCGATGGCTCCTTTGTTCTCTCCAGAGAGTGTGCTGTGAAATTCAATGATTATTTCGAGTTTCCACGTGACATGGACATGGAGCCTTTTACAGAGCTTGGTCTTGCAAAGCTTCAAGGTATGTTCACACATCATGTTGAAGAACTCTTATAAATCCTTGCTGCTTGAAAGTCTTAAACCAGCCATTTGAGTGACTTTGAGACAATGGTTACTCCTGATTGGGATGTCAAACACACTTATTAATAACACGAAGGGTAAACGAGGAGGTTGTTTTTGTATTCAACATTTCGCTGACTCGTACTCACCGTAACTGTTTGATGTACGTTGTGAATTGAATACTTACCTTCCTCAATTTCGTTTTCTTGTGTGACTGATAAACTTAGCTCATCGGAATGTTTTGTTTCAGGTGAAATGGCTGAAAACTCAACTGAAAGTGAAGCAGAGGAACAATTAAAGAGTGAAATAACAGGCAGTACCAAGTACCGGCTGGTGGGAATATTGGTACACAGTGGACAAGCTAGTGGTGGACATTATTACTCTTATGTCTTGCAGAGGTACAACTAATTTCGCCACTGAACTGTTTACTGTTACGGTATCTGTTGCTTCCGTCTTTGTGGCGGCTTAAGAAGTTGTTAGATGCACGATTTAATCAAGATTTGTGAAACAAACGAGAGCGAGATAACAAAAACCAGTAATACAGCATAATGAAATTAGAAGTTATTGTACTGTCTGTTGATGAAGAGGATATCCGATGGCGTTTGCGTTGAAACTACTAAAAATGCTGCAGAGTTCTTAAATTTAAGGAAAGATTTCATTCATTGTTAAGGGCGCAAGACAGAGAAAAAGAAATTTGAGTCCCCTCTGTGGAATAGAACCACATTATATAGTGAGCGAAGCCATTAGTAGACCCCCGTCCTGCACACTCGAAAAGAATTCCCCTCATTATGTTGTGTTCTTTGTTGTTTTTCGCTCTTGATAAAATGTCCAATATTGTAATATTATGCGTTTATTTGGCTGCACTTGAGGTACATTTTCATTAGAATTACGTAGAGAAAGTTCTGTTTTTGTAGCATTGGTAAATTTTGTTGTTACATTGTTATCCCCAGAGTTTCTCCAGATAATGTTCCCAAATGGTACAAGTTTGACGATGGCGAGGTCTCAGAATGCAAAATGGACGATGATGAGGTGCAGGCTCCCGTTGGTTAATGTAATAATTTTTCGGTGGTCGGGATAAACGTGTGGCTCGTAAATAACGGAGCAATCATGAATGTTGACCTTCGTAAACATTACAAACACTATGTTAGGATAGAAAATGAATTGTCAGTGAAGAGCCAACGTTAATTCAGCGTTCTAACTGCGTGCAATCGATCAGTCCTTTTTATACCCTCAGTTATTTCAATAAAGCTATTGCATGCTTGTTGTTCTTTCTCGTGACAGTGAGTGCCTAGCATATTCTTGTTTACTGATAGGAACTAAAGACTCAGTGCTTTGGAGGTGATTACATGGGTGAAGTGTTTGATCATATGCTGAAAAGGTCAGTGCGCAAACTCCTTGGTTCTTACAATCATGTTCTCGGTACGTCTCAGTCAATGTCACTCACTCATTTTGCTTGCTAGGATGTCATACAGGAGGCAGAAGAGATGGTGGAATGCCTACATCTTGTTTTATGAACGCCTTGATGTCATGGATAAAGGCAGAACTGTTGATGTTGATAGAAGTAAGTACTGCTTCCATCAAAACTGAAAAAGATATATACATCTATATATATCTATCTGAAGGAGATGCTTTAGCTGGCTGTATAGTGCTCAATACATAAAGTAGAGCGTAAATAGAAATAGTAAAATCAACAACGAAACAAAGTTTCCGTGACTCGTAGTTTCATGCTTTCGCAGTCATCAGATGGTCTGAGGATTGCGTAAGCATGAAACTACGAGTCACGGAAACTATGTTTCGTTGTTGATTTACAATTTCCATCTCTATATATATATATATATATATTTCTATTGGCCTTAAGGACGTGACGTTATATAGGTAGAATGTACTTTTCAAGTGCTAGGCACGCAACACTTCAGAAAAATCTCCCGTGATCTAATTTTGCCTTTGTATATGTAGCAACAAGGGTCGTTACCCTTTCTNTCTTATCAATAAAGATTTAGAAATGCAAAGACTAGCAAAAACTAACGATAAAAACCGACGTTTCGGTGTCATCATGACGCCATTGTCAAGGAGAAATAAAAAATAAAGTTTGTGGCAAGGTGTAACACTAAATTAGCATAAATATGTTACGAGCTAATTAAACAAATACTTTTGCGCGAATTGAATCGCTTTGCACGTTCAGAGTGGGTTTTAAGTCTCTGATGAAAAGCATTTCGTTCACCAAACAATCGAACTTGTTACTACACTTTTTCAGAATGCTAAAACGTTTCAGTAGGTCTTTCGGGACTTCGCTGTGCCGTTCGTGGTAGTGTTTATATATTGAAGATGCCTTTCGTTTATGTCCATCCACGCGTGTGTGTAAGTGTCCGCGTGTATAGCCCACATAACCCGCATCACACAGGTCACATTGAAATTGATAAACGACGCGTTGTTGGTTGACAATCTGTGGCTTGATTTCTCGTACTTTAAGATCTTGGCCAACTTTGCGGCTAACAAATACTGGCTGGACAGTTGTCTGCACCTTCATGCTAAGATTCTTGAGCTCTTTCTTAACATAATTTGCTGATTCCTGATCTTTGAAAGGTATGACCACACGAACAATGGATATTGGTTCTTTGGGCGTCTGTGTGGGCTGCGTACCAACAATTCTTGATTGTAAGAAGGTGTTAATGGTAGAATTTACCAGGCGTTCCGGGTATTTAAGCCGTGCGAAAACTTTCTTTAGGCGATCACACTCATCAGAGAAATGGGCCCAGGAGGAAGATAATCGGTGTGCGCGATCCGGCATAGTTTTCAGCAAGCTCCGTTTGTAGCGATTGTCTACATGGCTTTGGTAGTGTAATAGTAGGCCCGTGTTTGTTGGTTTCACATATACCTTGGTTTCAATCCGAGGTGCATGGTTGAGTAGTTCGGTGCCAAGGTTCCTTGGAAGGAACCTTGGCACCGAACTACTCAGTGGTATTTCTCCTTGACAATGGCGTCATGATGACACCGAAACGTCGGTTTTTATCGTTAGTTTTTGCTAGCCTTTGCATTTCTAAATCTTTATTGATAAAAAGAAATTTAAATATTAAAAAAAAAAACACGTTACGTTACCGCCAATACAGTGTCCCTGCCGGGAAACAGACACAAGAAAGGGAAACTTTGTAATATGTGTATTTTTTCGTTCTTCAGGCGGAGATGGAGCCTCTGGCAATGACCAGCATTCAGTTGGTTTCCAAGTTCCTTTTCACTACTGGCTTTCGAACCAAGAAAACCATCAGGTAATCACTGAATTGTCAACAATATTTACCGCTTTGTTCCATTTTAGCATCTTTTTCATCGTAGATCTTGGCTGTTCAGTGAATACTTAGTGCGATTACGGTTACCCATATATCCATAAACACTTGGTACAACGAAGGGCATAGCTCATTAACACTTAATGTGTGCGAAACTTCTTTGACTGAATAAACGCGGCAATTTACTGATATTTACTAAATGAAATGAAGTGTTGCCTGCTGTACGTTTAAACTTGTGACAGGGGTCCAGCGGGTGAATGGTACGATGCAGTGTGTGTCTTACTCAGACAGTTTAAGGCTGTCCGGGAGTGGTTCGCCAAGTTTGTGTTGTTCTCCCATCCTGATCGCTTTTCAGAGTATTTATTGGAGTGCCCCAGCGGAGAGGTAAGGTCTTTTAGATTCTCGTCCTTCAAATTTAGTTTGCTTTATTCATTTATTTCGTGCACACGGACAGAATGTTCTTGTTTCATTTTTCTGTTTTTCCATTTCTATCTGTTTTATAGGTAAGAAGTGCCTTTGCTAAGATTCTGGTGTTTTTAGCGCACTTCTCTCGGCAGGACGGCCCCTGTTATCCGTACCCGGACGACATTAAACAAGAATCAGGTTTGTTAATTACACAAGGCATGTCCGAGTCACTTGGTTAAAAGAGGGTCTAATGTCGTGTATTATTAGTATTCTATGACCACACAATATGCAGGTCTGAGACTGCTCGAGGCTTTGAATCCGTTTGGAGTCTTCGCGATAAATGATGTTAACTAATGCAGTGCCTTCTCTCATCCTACGGAAACCCATTAAGGATAAATAATAATAATAACTTTTATTTATATA